AGGATAGTTATAGCAAGGTCGATTTGAGAATACTGATAAACACATTACTGTAGATCCATGCAGTATTCTCAAGATGGGTCAATCCAGTCACATATTATCAATATAATATGCACCTACGTACAGATTAAGATATCACAATACCTATAGTCTATGAGACGCAACTATCTCATCTCGTACGTACTAGTCTTGATACGTTATGACGTCCATATTATCATAAAGTGCGACTAGGGATATTCTAGACATAGCCTTCGTCAAGAAGTAACAGTCTCATAATCAGAACATCGTTGTCCTCATCTATGTTACTGAAGCGCTATCGTCTATGGACTGAAGCTATGTTATGTTACACGAGATATAAAACATACTTCAAGGCCTTTCATTCATGATAAAGTGTACAGTTACATAGGTATTTGATTGCCGCTAGGGCACCTAAATACAACAGGCAGCACCATTTCCAGCCCTTCACTGCCCTGGGAAGTGACAACCACGAACCCACCAAGTCACCACGAACAGCCCCTGGCTCTTTTTCACAGATCACTCACAATGAGTTCACCAGCAGCCTTAAGGCCTCGCCCAAGCAGTGACTGTGTTGAGGCAGTAACTCAAACCCACAGACCAGCAACATGGTGTTGTGGGCAGTACCCATCCCCAACAGTTCAGTTTCAGGCACTCCACAAGAAAGACCAGTCCAGCAATTACAACCCAAGAGGCAATTCATAAAATCCACAAAAAACACAGCAGCAAAAACAGCAGTTCATAGGGCAAAAATTCACATAAGACCAGCTGCTCATTAACCAAACTCAATTCACAAAGCAAGGTCAAGAAGAAGTTGTTAAATAATGAACAACCTCTCAATTAGTAGCAGAGAATCCACAATATTTGGTCAGAAAGCATAAACCTTCATACTCCAGCTTCTCGCAATGAACAGTTGATTCGAAACCCAAAAAGCCACAAATCGAAAGGAGCGTCAATTGAAAATGAAATACAACTTCATAACATGGAAGAAGATAACAAGCCGCTCAAAATATCTGAGAATTATCAAACAAAACACATACCCTGCCTGCGATTTGAAGTCATCTCTATCAGTTTGGAAGCTGGCATCAGTATATCCAACAATACTGAGCTCTTCTTTTCCGCCATACACCAGGAAGGCATCCTTAGTCCTACGGAAGTATTTAAGGATGTTCTTCACAGCCGTCCAATGGCTTTCGCCAGGGTTGGACTGGTATCTACTCGTGACACTCAGAGCAAAGGCGACATCAGGTCTCGTACATACCATTGCATACATGATGGATCCAATGGCCGACGCATAAGGAACATTTCTCATGCGTTCTACTTCCTCCGGAGTGGAAGCACCCTGAGTCTTGGAAAGACTCGTGCCTTGGGCCATAGGCAAACTTCCTCGTTTCGACTCAGACATGCTGAATCTAGCGAGGACCTTGTCTATGTATGTACTTTGACTGAGACCTAACAGCTTCCGTGATCTATCNCTATAGATCCTTATGCCAAGTGCATAACTGGCATCTCCCAAGTCCTTCATAGAGAAACTCTTACTCAACCACGTTTTGACGGTGGTTAAAGTAGGAATATCGTTTCCTATGAGCAGTATGTCATCAACATACAGAGCAAGGAAGACTACAGCACTCCCACTGACCTTCTTGTATACACAAGATTCATCCGAATTTCTTTCAAAACCAAAGCCGATGACAGTTTCGTGAAAGCGGATGTTCCAACTCCGTGAGGCTTGCTTCAATCCGTAGATTGATCGCTGCAACTTGCATACCTTGGTAGATTCTTCAGGAGCGCAAAACCCTTCAGGTTGTGTCATAAAGACATCCTCAAGGAGGTTTCCATTAAGGAAAGCCGTTTTGACGTCCATCTGCCAGATTTCGTAATCGTGGTATGCTGCGATAGCAAGTAAGATCCGAATGGATTTAATCATGACAACTGGAGAAAAAGTTTCGTCATAGTCGATACCATGTATTTGACGATATCCTTTTGCTACCAATCGTGCCTTGAAGGTTTGTACCTTACCATCCATGCCAGTCTTCTTTTTGAAGACCCATTTGCACCCAATGGTTTGATCCCTTCGGGTGCATCAACCAAAGTCCATACTTGGTTGGTGTACATGGAATCCATTTCGGACTGCATGGCTTGACGCCATTCCTCAGCCTCGGGACAACTGATTGCCTCGAGGTAGGTCTCCGGCTCATCCTGGTCGATAAGCATTACGTCACCCTCAAAGGTTAGGATGAATCCATACCTTTCAGGTTGTGTGCGTAACTGGTTAGATCTACGGGGTTCTTGTGTATCTTGAGCATTTTGAGGTACAACGGTTTGTTCCTCTAGCTCATGTTCCTGAACCGCCGCGGTAGTTTCTTCGTCGTCTCGAATTTCTTCGAGCTCTATCTTTCTCCCACTAGTTGCGTTGGAGAGAAATTCCTTCTCGAGGAAGACACCATTGCGAGCAACGAATACCTTCTTATCGATAGGGTGATAGAATGAATACCCTCGAGTTTCCTTGGGGTATCCCACGAAGAAACACTTATCAGACTTGGCGTCAAGCTTGCCATTCGTCATAAGACGTTTGACGTAAGCCTCACAGCCCCAAATCTTTAAGTGTGACAGAACCGGGCATTTGCCCGTCCATAGCTGGTATGGTGTTCCTTCAACCGCCTTGGTTGGAACTCGGTTAAGAGTATATATTGCAGTGCTCAGCGCATACCCCCAGAATGATTCTGGTAGAGTCGAATGACCCATCATGGAACGAACCATGTCAAGCAGGGTTCGATTCCTCCTTTCAGAGACGCCATTCCATTGTGGAGTCCCAGGAGGTTTGAGTTGGGATAAAATCCCATGTTCTCTAAGATAGTCATCGAACTCACCACTTAAGTATTCTCCACCTCGATCGGATCGTAGTGTTTTAATACTTTTGCCAAGTTGTTTTTCAACTTCATTCCTGAATTCTTTGAACATTTCAAAGGATTCTGACTTGTGTTTCATGAGATACACATAGCCATATCTACTGAGGTCATCAGTAAATGTAATGAAGTATGAATAACAACCTCGTGCAGTTGTATTGAAAGGCCCGCACACATCACTATGAATGAGTGCCAGAAGATCACCAGCTCTTTCACCATGTCCGGTGAAAGGAGATTTGGTCATCTTACCCAATAAACAAGATTCACATGTGTCATATGATTCAAGATCAAATGACTCCAGCATTCCCGACCGATGTAGCTTGGATATGCGTTTCTCGTTTATATGGCCTAACCTACAATGCCATAGGTATGTTTGGTTCAAACCGTTTGGTTTGTTCCTCTTGGCTGATATGTTATAGACAGGCATGTCCTAGTCAAGGACATATAACCCATTGGTCATGTTGGCATTAGCATAGAAAACATTCTTTCTGTAAACAGAAAGGGACTTGTCTTTAATAGAAATGATGAAACCACTCTTATCAAGACATGAAACGGAAATAATGTTTTTGCTAATTGCAGGAACGTACAAACAATCGTTTAATTCCAACATTAGACCACTAGGCAAGACTAAACTATAAGTTCCGATTTCCAAAGCTGCAACTGGTGCACCATTGCCGACTCGGAGTTCAATCTCGCCTCGAGCTAACCATCTACTCTGCTTCAGTCCCTGCATGGTAGTACAGATATGAGACCCACATCCAGTATCTAGTACCCATGATGAAGATATAGACATGTTAACTTCTATAACATACACCTCAGAAGAAATGGTCGTACCTTCCTTCTTCTTGGTTGCGAGGTATGTCTTGCAGTTTCTCCTCCAGTGGCCTGCCTTACCACAGTGATGACATTTGCCCTTTGCAA